AAAAAAAAAAAAAAATACAAAAAATTAGCCCGGCATGGTGGTGGGCACCTGTAATCTCAGCTACTGGGGAGGCTGAGGCAGGAGAATCGCTAGAACCCGGGAGGCGGAGATTGCGGTGGGCAGAGATCATGCCACTGTACTCCAGCCTGGGTGAAAGAGCAAGGCTCCGTCTCAAAAACATAAAATAAATAAAACGTCTAAAATTAAATGAAATAAATGAAGCTGTTGTGACCTTGCTGCTGACTGCTTGTGGTGGCTGAGCTCCGGAAGAACCACTCAGACCCACCATGGAGAGACCCTCCAGGAGAATCGCAGTCCAGGGGTTCACGAGACAAGACCCTCTGCTGTGTGGCCCCAGACAAATCGGCTCCCGTCTCTGGGCCTCAGTTTGGGAAGTGGGAACACTGACCTTCACTCAGCCCCTCCTCAGGGCTGCCAGGAGCTCGGTTTTCTGAGTCGCCAGAGGGCAGTTGTTTGTTTCACAACCAAAAGGGAAGGAAACGGCCCAGCTCTGGGTGGAATCGGCCCCAGAGGCAGTGGGGGCCCCTCTGCGGCTGCAGCCCTGGTCCCAGCTCCTCACTGTGTCGTGAGGCTAAGGCGCTGACCCTCTCCGCACCCTGTCCGTCAGCCACCGGGACGGGGACAGCATCCTCGCGAATGAAGTTCCACGCTCCAGCAGCTCCAGGCGATTATCCTTCTGATGCCCGTGGAGCTGGGTTTTCCAGGCTCTGTCTCAGTGCTGTCTGACTGAGGGCAGCACATTGGGAGGCCGAGGCATCAGATCACCTGAGGTCAGGAGTTCAAGACCAGCCCGACCAACGTGGAGAAACTCCATCTCTACTAAAAATACGAAAAAATAGGCCGGGTGCGGTGGCTCACGCCTTTAATCCCAGCACTTTGGGAGGCCAAGGTGGGTGGATCACGAGGTCAAGAGATCGAGACCATCCTGGTCAACATGGTGAAACCCCGTCTCCACTAAAAATACAAAACATTAGCTGGGCATGGTGGTGCGTGCCTGTAATCCCAGCTACTCAGGAGGCTGAGGCAGGAGAATTGCCTGAACCCAGGAGGCAGAGGTTGCGGTGAGCCAAGACCGCGCCATTGCGCTCCAGCCTGGGTAACAAGAGCGAAACTCCGTCTCAAAAAAAAAAAAAATACGAAAAAATTAGCTGGGTGTTGTCATCCATGCCTGTAATCCCAGGCAGCAGGGGAGGTAGAGGCAAGCCCAGGGGACCCACCTGTGCTGACATGACGACCTTGGAGACCAGAGTGTCTTCTGCCCAGGCATTCAACAACATTGATGGACAGCCAGGCGCGGCAGCTCACACCTGTAATCCCAGCACTTTGGGAGGCCGAAGCGGACAGATTACTTGAGCTCAGGAGTTTGAGACCAGCCTGGGCAATGTGATAAAACCCCATCTCTACCAAAAACAAAACAAAATAAAACTTAGCCGGGCGTGGTGGCAGGCACCTGCGATCCCAGTTACTCGGGAGGCTGAGGCAGGAGGCTTGCTTGAACCAAGGAGGTAGAGGCTGCAGTGAGCCGAGATCGCACCACGGCACTCCAGCCGGGGTGACAGAGCGAGACCCTATCTCTAAAACATAAAAACAGGGCCAGGCTCACCACTGCGAGCCCCACCACCGGCTGTGCGAGCTTCACTTTATGACCTGACCTTTGCCGCTAAGAACGCTCCCACCGGGGGGTGCAGCCATGTCCCACTGGAGTCTGGTCCCCACAGAATGTCAGCACCACAGGGTGGGCATCGGTCACGGCTGCATCCTCACCTCCGAGGAGGAGGTCTGGTATACACTAGGCACTCAATAACTGCTTAAAACAGGCAGAAATCTGGCAGGCATGATGGTTCACTCCTGTCATCTCAGCACCTTGGGAGGTTGAGGAAGGAGGACGGCTGGAGCCCAGGAATTTGAGACCAGCCTGGGCAGCACAGCAAAACCCCGCCTCTTAGAAAAATAAGATAAAAGTCAAATAAAGGCAGAAATCATGAGCTTCCTGGGAGACCGGCCTTCCTCATGGTCCCCTCAGCCCTGAGGTCAGCACTGGAGCTGCTGACAGGCAGACTGGGCTTTGACGGGTAGGAGCCCGAGGGGAGCTCCCACACATGTGCGGCCGCGTGGAGGCGGGGTAAACCGAGGCACAGAGGGGTCAAGCGCCTTCCCGAGGTCACTGGCAGCCCCGGAGCCCGTCTCCTCCCCCGCCCTGTTTCTGGCCCTATGGGGCAATGATTATTATCAACGTGATTATTATCGGCCACCTCCTGAGACGATCGATCTCCCAGATATACCCGGCCGGCTCCAGGCGTTGCTGGTGGGGCCCCTCGACCACAGGCCACAGCCAGGCTCTCCCTTTCCGGCCGTTGGCTGAGGGTGGGAGCCGGGGCCCCAAGACCTCTGCGGGGAGACGCCAGCCTGTGTCTGCCATGGGGCCTGGGTCGGGGGGCTGGGGACGTCCGCTGCTGACCGTGGCCACCGCCCTGATGCTGCCCCTGAAGCCCCCGGGTGAGGAGCCCCCTGGGATCCCCACCCAGGCCCCCGTGCAGGGACTGCACCCGGGAACCCCCAGTCCCGGGAGAACCCACCGGAGGGCCCCACCTGGTCCGTCTGCTGAGCCCCCACAGCTGCCTCAGCTGGAAGAGGGTGCAAGTCCAGCTGGGGTCTCAGCTCGGCCCAGCCCGGGGTCGCCCAGGCTCCGAGCCCCTCCCAGCGCCCCTGGGGGGCTTGTCCGGCTTTGTCTCCTGCTCCCTGTGCCCCCCGGTCTTGCCTCTCACCCGTCTCTGTCTCGGCCTCTCCTGCTCCTGCTGCCCTGACCCCAGCCCCGCCAGCCCTTCCTCCTGCCCTCCCTCGTCCCTGACTCTGGCCGTCCCTCCCACAGGCTCCTGGGGGGCCCAGATCATTGGGGGCCGCGAGGTGACGCCCCACTCCCGGCCGTACATGGCATCCTTGCGCTTCCAGGGCCAGCACCACTGCGGGGGCTTCCTGCTGCAAGCCCACTGGGTGGTCTCGGCCGCCCACTGCCTCAGCCACAGGTGAGCTCACCTGTCCGGCCCCTTCTCTCCGGGCACTTGAGGGGGACTCCAGGCTGGCGGAGAGCTGGGGAGGCGGCAGCCCAGGACTGACCCCCCTTGCCTGGTGGGGGCTTCTGCAGGAGGGGACGTCTCAGCTGGGAAAATCGGGGAGGTGGGAGAAACTCAGAAGCCGCAGCAGGAGCAAGAGGTACATCTTTTTTTCTCTTTTATTTTTGAGAGAGAGAGTCTTGCTCTGTCTCCAGGCACCAGGCTGGAGTGCAATGGCGCGATCTCGGCTCACCGCAACCTCCACCTCCTGGTTCAAGCAATTCTCCTGCCTCAGCCTCCCCAGTAGCTGGGACTACAGGCACGCGGCACCACGCCTGGCTAATTTTTGTATTTTAGTAGATATGGGGTCTCACTACGTTGGCCAGGATGGTCTCAATCTCTTGACCTCGTGATCCGCCCGCCTCGGTCTCCCAAAGTGCTGGGATTACAGGCGTGAGCCACCGCGCCCGGCCAAGAAGGACACCTTCCAACGATCACTATGTTCGTCTTTCTTTTCTTTTTTTTTGAGACAGTCTCTGTCCGGCAGGCTGAGTGCAGTGGTGCAATCTCAGCTCACCGCAACTCCCACCTGCCGGGTTCAAGCGATTCTCCTGCCTGTAGTCCTAGCTGCCTGGAGGATGAGGCGAGGCAGGAGAATCACTTGAACCCGGGATGCGGAGGTGGCAGTGAGCCGAGGTCGCGCTCCAGCCTGGGGAACAGAGTGAGACTCTGTCTCAAAAAAAAAAAAGACTATTAAGTTGGTGCCAAAGTAATTGTATATTTTGCCATTTAATTTTTTTGTGCGATCATTTTTGCACCAACCTAATATCACGGGGCTGGCGAGAGCATTAAAGGGACGGCGGGGCCTCCATTTCATGCATGAGGGGACTGCAGCCCAGGACGGGCAGCCCTCACCCCGTGTCCCCTGGCCCCTCCTCCCCACAGAGACTTCCGCACGGGCCTGGTGGTGCTGGGCGCTCATGACCTGCGTGCCACAGAGCCTACCCAGCAGGTGTTTGGCATCGACGCTGTCACCAGGCACCCCGACTACAATCCCGTGACCCACGCCAACGACATCTGTCTGCTGCGGGTGAGCCCCGGGGCCGGGGTGGCCGGTGGGTGACATACATTTATTTTTTTAAGACAGAGTCTCCCACGGTCGCCCAGGCTGGAGTGCAGGGGCGCGATCTCAGCTCACGGCAACCTCCGCCTCCCGGGTTCAGGCGATTCTCCTCCCTCAGCCTCCCGAGTAGCTGGGACTACAGGCGCGCGCCACCACACCTGGCTAGCTTTTTGTATTTTTAGTAGAGATGGGGTTTCACTATGTGGGCCAGGCTGATCTCGAACTCCTGACCTTGTGACCTGTGCACCTTGGCCTCCTAAAGTGCTGGGATTACAGGCGTGAGCCACCGCGCCTGGCCATTTGTTTGTCTCAGGCTTAATTCAGTCTAATTTTCTTGTATAAAAACCCTATGTAAGCCGGGCGCAGTGGCTCACGCCTGTCATCCCAGCACTTTGGGAGGCCGAGGCGGGTGGATCACGAGGTCAAGAGATCGAGACCATCCTGGTCAACACGGTGAAACCCCGTCTCTACTAAAAATACAAAAAATTAGCTGGGCATGGTGGCGCGTGCCTGTAATCCCAGCGACTCAGGAGGCTGAGGCAGGAGAATCGCTTCAACCCAGGAGGCGGAGGTGGCGGTGAGCCGAGATCGCGCCTGCACTCCAGCCTGGGTGACAGTGACTCCGTCTCAAAAAAAAAAAAAAAAAAGAAAGACCCTTTGGGGAGCTGAAGGGTGAGACTGGAGGCCTGAGGTCTGGTGCTGTGTTGACTGAGGGAGCAGGGCCTCCTAACCCAGGCTCATGGCGGCTGCCATTGATTTCTCTTCACAAGGGCAGGACTGCGGGTCACATGGATAAACTGAGGCAGGCAGGAGCAGGGCTGGCCTGAACTTGTGCTCTCTGTGCAGCTGAACAGCTCTGCTGTCCTGGGCCCTGCAGTGGGGCTGCTGCGGCTGCCCAGGAGAGGGGCCAGACCCCCCGTGGCCGGGACACGGTGCCGGGTGGCCGGCTGGGGCTCCGTGTCTGACTTTGAGGAGCTGCCGCCCGGACTGATGGAGGCCGAGGTCCGAGTGCTGGGGCTGGACGTCTGCAACAGCTCCTGGAGTGGCCTCCTGAGCCATGCCATGTTCTGCACCCACAGTGGGGACGCTCACAGGCGGGGCTTCTGCTCGGTAAGATCCCCTCCCAGCTCCACCCGCTTACTGTATGGAGAAACCAAGGCCCACAGAGAGGGGCAGGGCTAGGAAGGGCCTTGGGAACTGAGTCCCATTGATGTTGGACCAGACCTAGAAGCTGAGGCCCAGGAAAGGCAGGGAGTTGGTGAGGGTCACACAGGGCTCCCGTGTCCGGCTGTGCAGGCTGGGCACTGCACAAGCTACCATGCCCTTGGGTATTCATACAAGCAGTGTTCAGCAGAGGGTGGTAACATTGAGAGGAAGCAGCTCCCACTCATAAAACCCTGTCGGATAAACGACTCCCCTGGTGCCAAGGCAGACGCTGGGCCTGGAGGGTCTCTCACCGCAGGCAAGAGAGAGACTTGGTTCAGGCCACAGGCTCTGGAGCCAAACAGCACAAGTCCAGGAGGAAGGAGACTGCCCACCTTCCCGATGTGTGGCCTTGGAAAGGTCGCCCGACTCCTCTGGGCCTCTTTTCCACCATCTGTAAACTGCCACGCCAATAGTGTCTCCTTGATAGTGTCGGAGCTGATTCCAGGTGCCAGTTAGGAGCGTAAGATGGGGGGTTCCAGGGTGAGTATTTGGGGAGCCCTCTCCGAGGACAGCACCTCTGAGCTGAGACTTGAAGGAATCCTTAGAAGATTTGAGAAAACACAGGCAAGGCAGAGAGACCCGTGAGTGGAGGGCCGCCATGTACGGCTGTGTATGTTGCGCACTGCCAGAGCACTGCAGACCGGACTGTTTACACAGGCAGCGTCCAGCCCAGGGCAGGAACAGGTCTCCAGGCCGTCCAAAGGCTGGATCACTGAGGAGGCTGGCGGGGAGGGCAGAGAAGTGGGTGGGGGCTGGGTCCTCAGGGCCTGGAAGGCAGAGGTGAGTTCACGTTCTGCTCGGAGGGCACTAGGGAGCTACAGAGCGTTCTGGGGCAGGAGGGCCGTGGTCAGCTGTGCCTGCAGCCACTCCCGAGGCCCTGACTCATGTCTCCTTTCACTGCAGGCCGACTCGGGGGGGCCCCTGGTGTGCAGAAACCGGGCCCACGGCCTTGTCTCCTTCTCGGGCCTCTGGTGCGGTGACCCCAAGACCCCCGACGTGTACACACAGGTGTCCACCTTTGTGGCCTGGATCTGGAACGTGGTTGGGCGGGGCAGCCCCCAGCCCGGCCCCCTGCCTGGGACTGCCAGGCCCTGGGAAGGAGCCCCCTGAGCCACTGCCTTGCGGCATGCAAATGAGATCACTGTTCTGGGCCTGGAATGTTCCGTGGCCGGGGTGGGGGGTCTGTGGGGCTGCAGACACCAGAAAACCTGATGTGCAGGGTTGGGGTGGGGCCGGTGACGGGTGGGGGCACCCATTCCGCATGCAAAGGGCTGAACAGAACCGAGTAAAATGTTAAGTGACGTCCAGCCTTCCCCCGTCCCACCTCCAGGCCTGGCGCGTCTCCTTGTCCACAGCCTCTTCCCCCGACGCCGTCCCCCACCGTGAACACCTCTGGGTCTCCCTCCGCACCCCTGCCCTGCAACCCACACTCCAGAGCCTCCGCCGATGCCCCGTTCTCCACGAGTGGGCTCCTCTGCAGGGTGTGGGGGCCGAGACGGCCACGCGGTGGGATCCCGAGAGGCCTGGCCTCCCTTCGGGCCTGGTGTTCACCCTCTGAAAACCACAGAGAAGGGCGCCGGGCACACACCACGTCCCAGATGATGTTATTGTCACGGCTGGTTATTGTGTTATTTTAGTTTTAGATTTTATTGTTGTTACCGTTATTTTGAGACGGAGTCTCGCTCTGGCGCCCAGGCTGGGTACCGCAGTGGTGCGACCTCAGCACACTGCAGCCTCCACCTCCCGGGTTCGGGCGATTCTCCCGCCTCAGCCTTCTGAGCAGCTGGGATTACAGGTACACGCCACCAGACCCGGCCCATTTTTGTATTTTTAGTAGAGACGGGGTTTCACCATATGGGCCAGGCTGATCTCAAACTCCCGACCTCATGATCCACCCGCCTCGGTCTCCCAAAGTGCTGGGATGACAGGCGTGAGCCACCGCGCCCGGCCAATTGTGTGATTATTTTAGAAACAGGGTCTCACTCGGTCACCCAGCCTGGGTGCGATCACAGCTCACTGCAGCCTGACACCCTGGGCTCAAGCCATCCTCCGACCTCAGCCTCCTGAGTAGCCAGGCCTGCAGGGGCATGCTCCCATGCCTGGGTCATTTTTCTTTTCTTTGTAGAGACGGGGTCTCGCTACGCTGCCCAGGCTGATCTGGAACTCCCGTCCTCAAGCCATCTGCCCGCCTCAGCCCCCCAAAGCTCTGGATTACTTGGGCGAGCTGCGGCCCGGCCCTAATCCTGTTGCTATTCTTGCTGTTGCTACGCTCAAGTCTTCGAGGCCGAGCCCCCATTTCTGGGCCCCAGGCCAGCCGGTTTCTTAGGGCTGCCCTAAGCCATCTTGACCATCCTGTGTGCCCCTCCCAAAAGGCATCTTTTCTCTCCCTCCCCTCCCGCACCGCCCCTCCTGGGCTCATCCACTGCCTGGAGAGCAGTGAGACCCAAAGCAGCCAGAGGCTGCCCAGGGACCAACGCTGCAGCTCCGGGGTGTCTCTTCCGGGTGCTTCTGGAGCAGCACCCAGGCCCCAGGCTGCCAACCCCATAGCCTGAGGGGGGGCAGCTTGAAGCCCTGAGAGAGGAGACAAACTGAGGCCTGGACCCTCAAAGTGGTTTCTTTGAGTCTTTATTTCTTTGGTGAGGCAGGGCCCCAGGGTGGGGAGGGCAGCCTGGTCGGAGGCTCCCATAGACACCCCCCAGCCCAGGGGCACTTTTCTGGGCACCACAGGTAAGGCACTGCCTAGGGGGGCTGCAGGAGGATGAGTATGCTCCCCGCACCCCTCACCCCCGAAGCGGGAAGGGGTTTCCTCCACCTTGTCTCCTCCCCATAGCTGGTTTGAGGTTCTGGTCTACAAACAGGCACAGGTGGGGGATTCCGAGCGTCGGCCCAGATCGAGGGGAGGGTGAGCCGTCGAGGGGAGCTGGCCCATGACCAGCACCTGGCTGGTGTCGCCAGCTCCAGCTATGCTGGTGGGTCTGGCTGGAGCCTGGGTCTGCAGGCCTGGCCGGGCGGGCTGTGCGGGACCCAGGAGCCCTGTGTGTGAACGCCGATGTGGAGGCAGCAGGCACCTGTGGTGGTGCTGGGACCCTCGGCTCCAGGACTCCGGGATGCTACACATGTGAGTTTTGGTGCTGACACCCCCCTCGGGGCCGGTGGGTGAGCACGGGCCCGAGGTCCCTCCCAGAGACCCCCCCCACAGTGGACGGGGCCCCCCAGACACGGTGCCCTGCTCTGAGCTGCGGCTGGCTGCTCCACGTCTGAGACCACGCGATCACATCATAAACTGATGTGGACCGCAGCGGGGAAGGCGCTGGGCGGTTCTGTGGCTGAGCATGGCCCATGTCAGGAGCACAGGCAGTGCCCTTTCCCAGGGGCACACTGGGCATTTCTCAGTGGCCTTCACAGTACGCAAAGGGGCACACAGAGGCAGTGGGGAAGCTGGAGTTCATGGGCTGGTAGGAGGGAACAGTGGCAGCCTTCCTGGCCTTCATGAAGGGTCTCTCCTGCTGGGTAAGGTCACAATGTTCTGAGGTCCATCCGTACACACCCAGGCTAGACCATTCATGCACACCCAGGCTAGACCGTCCATTCACACCCAGGCTAGACCATCCATTCACACCAAGGCTAGACCATTCATTCACACCCGGGCTAGACCATCTGTATACATCCAGGCTAGACCATCTATTCACACCCAGGCTAGACCATCCATTCACACCCAGGCTAGACCATCCATTCACACCAAGGCTAGACCATCCATACACACACAGGTTAGACCATCTGTATTCACCCAGGCTAGACCATCCGTACATATCCAGGCTAGACCATCCGTACATATCCAGGCTAGACCATCCGTACACATCCAGGCTAGACCATCCATACATATCCAGGCTAGACCATCCGTACATATCCAGGCTAGACCATCCATTCACACCCAGGCTAGACCATTCATTCACACCCAGGCTAGACCATCCATTCACACCCAGGCTAGACCATTCATTCACACACAGGCTAGACCATCTGTACACATCCAGGCTAGACCATCTGTACACATCCAGGCTAGACCATCTGTACATATCCAGGCTAGACCATTCATTGACACCCAGGCTAGACCTCCTCTGCACTTCCTGGCCTGAGCCCAAGGCCCCGGTTCTAGGAGGCTTGGGGCTCAGAAAAGCAGTCATGCCTCTTCAGGAATTATCAGCAGGGAGTGCCCAGCCCTCTTGAAGATAGGAATAATTAATAGGCTTATCCCCAAAGGAGCAGAAAGGTGGGGTCCTCCCTGGCAATAGGACTCAGGGTAGGGCCTAAATTGAGCCCTCAGTGCCCGGGGCGCAGGTCCATCCCACCCACCAGCCGGCCCCAGGCCTCCATTCCTCAATCCTTCCAGGATATCGTCAGGGGGTTTTGGGATCCCCGGAAGTGGTCTGAATCCAGGTTTAGGGAGTGTCCGTGGGATATAAATTAGACTCTGCTGTGGCAATAAATAACAGGGGGTGGTGGGGGGCCTTGGGCGCCAGGCCCAGGCCTGTCCTGCAGGCTCACACGAAGTTCTCTTCCTCCTCCGCCGATTCACCATCTGGGGGCTCCTGAGGGGTGCCTACAAAGGTGCCTGCAAGTGTCGATAAGAGCAATGAGGGCGCAGGGCAGGGGGCTCTCTGTTCCCCAGGACAGGCCTGTCTCCCCCGCCCTGCGTCTGCACCTGCGCAGCTGCCTGAGTGGCGCACGCCGATGGAGCGGCCCAGAAAGCAGGTGGCCTGGCGCAGGTGGCACGAGGAGATGTAGGTGACGTTGTTGTTACCGCAGAGCTCCTGGCCGGGGCTGGCGGGCACAGGACAGGGTGCCGCCCGACACACCACGCAGTGGGCACTGCCAGTCTGGTCCACGACGCACGACTGCGGCCGGGAGCACACCACACGATCACAGGACTCTGCAGGCCGGGTGCCAGGGGCGTTTCAGGGGGCATCCTGCTGAGAACCCCGAAGGGCTCTTGGCCCGAAGGCCAGCCCTTGAACCCCAAGTTTCAAGAACCCTCTGGTGGGAGACAGAAGCCCCGCCACCTCCGTAAGCCCCCCTCCACCCGACCCCTCGGGCTCCACCCACAAGCCCCGCCCCTCCGATTGTACCCAGGAGCCACACCCCTTTCAAGAGCTCCGCCCCTTATGTTACCCACAAGTCCCACCCCCTACAGCTACCACCAGCCCCTCCCCCGATTGTACCCTGGAGTCACTCCCCTTCCAGAAGCCCCATCCCTTGCATTAGCCATAGGCCCCACCCGCTTACCACCCACAAAGCTCCGCCCACATGAGGCTCCACCCCCAAGCCATGCTCCTCCCATTGTACCCAGGAGTCACACCCCTTCCATGAGCCTCGCCCCTTGTTACCAACAAGCCCCGCCCCTCGATCGTACCCAGGGGTCACTCCCCTATCAGAAGGCCCGTCTGTTACGTTAGCCATACGCTCCACCCCTTACCAACCAGGAAGCCCCGCCCCCCCACCAGCTCCGCCCACACATCAGGCTTCACGCACAAGCGCTGCCCCACCCGTTGAACGCAGGAGCCACACCTCTTTCATGAGCCCCGCCCCTTGTGTTACCCACAAGCCCGCCTCCTCGAGCCCCGCCCACTAAAACTCCACCCACAGACCCGCCCATCTCCACCCAGGAACCACGCCCCTGCCAAGAGCCCCGCCCCTTACAGCCTCACCCTCGGTTCCATCTTGCCACCCTGGTTGCCCCCACGAGCCCCTCCACTCTAATCACGCCACATATCTCGTGCCCAATGTGAGCCCCGGGGGCCCCCCCCCTCGGAAGTATAAAAGCGCCCCTAATCCTTCATCAGACCCCACCCCAACCCATGTGGCCTGCCCTCGGCCGGAGGCCCCGCCCCTCAGCACTGCGGCAGCGGCCACGCCCCTCCAGCCGGCCCCGCCCTCACGCACTGCGGCAGCAGCCCGGGTACGTGACGCGCGGGTCCGGGCGGCCCCGCCCCAGGCCCCGCCCCCACGTACTGCGGCAGCGGCCCCGGTACATGACGCGCAGGTCCGGGTGGCCGCGGCAGCGCGCGGCGCGCAGTTCGCACTCGTCGCGGTAGGTGGCGCCGTCCGAGCCGCAGACCTGCAGGCGCGCCGGGAGCCCCGCGCAGTCGGGCGTGCACTCGCAGCGCGGGCGGCCCCCCAGCAGGCGGCACGCCTTGCCCGGGCCGCACTCCACGCCGTCGCACGAATCTGCGGACACAGGACACGCGCGTGGGGCCGGGCGCGGGGCGGGGAGGGGCCCGGGGCGGGGAGGGGCCCGGGGCGCGGGGAGGGGCCCGGGGCGCGGGGAGGGGCCCGGGGCGGGGAGGGGCGCGGGGCGGGGAGGGGCCCGGGGCGGGGAGGGGCCCGGGGCGCGGGGCCGCGCGGAGGCCTCGGGGCCCGTCCCCGCGCGCCCCCTGCAGGGCGGAGGCGGGGGCGCCGGCCCAGGGCAGGGTCGGTCGGGGTCGGGGCGCTCGGGCTCCCGGGCGCGGGGTCCGGAGTTCCGGGTGCGCCTGCGCTGGGGTCGGGGGGCGAGGGCTGGGGTCCCCGCCCGGAATCGGGGTCCGGCCGAGCTGCACGGCCGGGGCCGCGCCCCCTCGCAGCTGGCTGACGTCTGTGCCGATGCACGCGCGCTTCTGGGAAGGCCGGAGGGGGTCCGGCCGCGTCAGCCCGGGGTGTTCCGTCCTCGCCAGGCGCGCGTCTGGGGCTGCCAGGACCTTCCCCCAGGAGGCGTCGCGGAGGGCGGGGCGCTGGACGCCCCTCCTGGCCTGGGGAGCGTTTCCAGGGGAGGGGGCCCTCCGCAGCCCTAGGCCTCCGACCCAGGAGTTCCCAGCGCTGGGGCAGGGATACTGAGGCCCTGCTAGGGAAACTGGGGTCCCCGCCCCCGCTTTTAATACGCTGCCCATCGCCTCCCACGCTCATTGCATCCTCCCAAGTCGTCATTTTACAGATGGGGAAACTGAGGCCTGGTCGCAGATGTGAGTGCAGGGGACCAAGCACCTCAGCTTGAAAGCTGCAGCCAGGACCCAGATGACCGACCCCCTTCCTGTTGTTTGGAGGGTCTGGGGGGGGCCTCTGAGCACAGCTTTGGAGTTATGTGCCAGCCTCAGTTTCTCTGTGTGTAAAGCGGGGCTGATGGGGAGTGACTCCCACTTAGAGGATTGTCGGCGCCCCCCACGCAGCCCCGACAGGGCATGTGGGCCGCACCTGGGCGCCCCCACACACAGTGGCTCACAGGCACATCTGGAAATGCTCTGCCAGGGTGTTTTCATGCAAGCGAGCACGGAGGGGGCCTGAGCTCCCATCCCCGGGGCCAGATGAGGTTGGGAGCGGGGGTCCCAGGCCGTGTTACGCCCAGGCCACGCACTTTTTGAAGTCTGTCCTCCCAGAAGCCAGAGGGGGTCTGGAGGGAGCAGGAGTGTGTGGCAGTGAGTTCAGGACCACCCAGCCAGGCTGATGTGGGATTAATCACATCTCAGAGGCCAGCAGGGTTTCTCATCCTGGCCTGCCTGTCTCCAGCCCTCCGCTCCAGCCTCCCCCGGGCTCTGCCTAACCCCACCCACCAGGACCTAGCCTTCAGCCATGGTCTCTCCTGATCCCCTCTCCCATACTAGCTCCATCTGGCAAATTCCTAATCATCCCCCTGTAATGCCCACCTCTTCAAGTAGTGCCCCACCAGGCTGAGCACGGTGGCACACGCCTGTCATCCCAGCACTTTGGGAGGTCAAGGCTGGCAGATCACCTGAGGTCAGGACTTTGAGACCAGCCTGGCCAATGTGGTGAACCCCTGTCTCTACCAAAAATATAAAAATTAGTCGGGCATGGTGGCGGGGATGCCTGTAGTCCCGGAACTGGGGAGTCCGAGGAAGGAGAATTGCTTGAACCCGGGAGGCGAAGGTTGCAGTGAGCCAAGATCCCGCCACTGCACTGTAGCCTGGGGGTGACAGAGCGAGACTTCATCTCAAAAAAAAAAAAAAAAAAAAAGGGCCAGGCGCGGTGGCTCACGCCTGTAATTCCAACACTTCAGGAGGCTGACTGAGGTGGGTGGATCACCTGAGGTTGGGAGATCCAGACCAGCCTGGCCAACATGGATAAACCTCCTCTCTACTAAAAATACAAAATTATCTGGACATGGTGGTGCATGCCTGCAGTCTCGGCTACTTGGAAGGCTGAGGCAGGAGAATCGCTTGAACCTGGGAGGTGGAGGTTGTCGTGAGCCGAAATTGCACCACTACGCTCCAACCTGGGCAACAAGAGGGAAGCTCCGTCTCGGGAAAAAACCCGTCATCCTCCAGTTCAGAGAGTGGATCTTAACTCATCCATTTGTTCTGTGCCACCCATCAAGAGCCCCGAGTCTTACGTGGGAGGCATCCTCTCAGAACAGCAAATGCTCATTAAACACGCAGCCGTGACCCCACCCCAGACCCTGAAGTTTGCAGTGAAGGGCCCTGGTGTGGACATTTGGGGTCACAGGCCAACATGGCAAACGCACCTTCCCAGGAGCTGTGAGCAGGCCTCTGTCGACCGGGTGGGAAGAGCCACCCGGGCAGAGAGCTCAGCCCCAGCAAAGGCTGGAGTCAACTGGGGAGTCCTCAGAGCCTCTTCCTGAGTCCTGAGCTGCAAGAGGCTGAAATGTGGGACCTGGGAAGTCCCCCCCAATCCCTTTCTGAGGCTGGGATCCCCCTGCAGCCTCCTGCATACCCCTGTGACGGGGAGCTCACTCTCGGACGTCCTGCCCTCAACCACCTTGACTGTTGTTAGCTGATCCTGAGCTGAGATGCCCGCCCTGCTTCTGGTCTGGGGCCAGTGCCCAGGGTCTCACCTTTGCAGGGGAGGCAGTGGACAAGTCCCAAGAAGCCAAGGAGGTTGATCTTGTTCCCCTGGTGGGTGACGTTGGACCAGGCGGTGTCAATGTTGCCGGAGGCGCAGCACTCGGCCCGGGTGACGTTAGTCTGGAGCACCAGGCTGCAGGTGGCCTCCTGGCCCTGCTGCAGCCAGCAGACGCCAGCTGCAGGCACAGGGACGGGGTGCTCTCCTGGGCCCCTCGTGACACCCAGCCTCCGGCCCCCCCCACAGATGCATGCAGGTGGTGCTCAGGAGTTACGCAGGGATGATCTACCCCAACCCAGGAAGAAGGGACAGGAAACCACGTGGGTGTCCCCACCCTGGCTCTGGATCCTGGAGATCCCCCTCCCCTCTGAGCTCCAAGGCCCCCTGAAGCCTCACCACCAACCCCTACCCATCCCGGGAGGCCCTCCCCTTTCCCTCCAAGCCCCCAGGCCAGGGACTGGCACCCTGCCCAACCCCTCAAACGCCACCAATCACCAGGCACTGGGCATGTCAGGGTCAGCGGGCCTGGGAGCCGCTTCTCCCACCTCTGCCCTCTGTCTAGACAGCACCCGAGGACGAAGGCACTCGGGAGCCCCGCGCCTGGCAGCCCCCCCCACCGCCGGGCCCGCCTCTTACTCACTCCAACTTGGGAACATTCCCCTTGCATGAGCTCACTGTCTCCCCAGGGACGTGGCCTTCGGGGAGGGGGCTCTGCTCTCCCTTTGGCGTGGGGCTGGGGTGGGGTGGGGCTGCAGGGATGGGGGGTGGGGAGGCAGAGAGCCCCCTGTTTCTTCCCCCATCCCTGGGGGCAGGAATGGCCACAGCCCCCTTCTCAGAGCACTTGCTGGTTCACAGACACTGCCAGGAACCAGCTTGGGGAACTTGGCACCCATCATAGGAGGGGAAACTGAGGCCAGAAGTGAGGCTGTCTCCGGCCTGGCACCTCCCAGCAAGTCCCAGCTGTGAGTCTCCATGTCCCGTCTACCCAGGACTCTGGAGGGCCTGGCTCCGGACACCCAGAGATGCCGCTCCGGACACCAGGACCGACCCAAATGGTCGCAGCTCGAATCCTGGCTTTGCCGCCTACAGGCTGTGTGACCCTGAGCCTCAGTTTCCCCATCTGGAAGACGGAGATGAAGAGCGCCCCGGGCACTACTGGGGTCGTCGGGGTTCAGGGAGGGACGAGGTGGACACTAAGCGCCCAGGAAACGTCAGCGGTCGTTGTGGTGGGAAGCCTGCGCTCTGCTGACCCGCTGGTGACCCCTCCAGGCCCTCCTGGCTTCAGCGCGCGCTGGACCCCGCCCGCGCCCCCCGACATCCCCCGGCCCGCAATCCGGGCAGCCCCACGTGGGCGGCCCGCCCCGCCCTCCCCTCCGGCCGCCCCACTCACCGGGCGCGGGGTCCCCCGAGCCCAGGGAGCCCACGAAGCCCACGGCCCAAGCCAGGGCCCCCCAGGGCAGAGGCCAGAGTGGCCCTGGCGCCCCGGGACGCATGGCGAACGCGGAGACGGCGGCGGCACCGACTTCCCAGCGCGCGGCCGGCGCTCCCTATAAAGGTCCCGCGGGCCGCGGGCGGGGCGGGCCGCGGGGCGGGGCGCGGCGCGGGAGTGGCGGGGGCGAGGCCGGTCCCGCGCGGGGTGGGCAGCGGGGGGCGCGCGCCCGGGCCCCCTCCCAGAGCCGGGGAATGCGTTTGGGGAGATGCGGCTGTTCCCAGGCGGAGAGGGACGGGGCTGTGAGTTCGAGGTGGTGGCGGCCTTTCGGGTGGATGGAGGGGCCGCCTCCAGGGCTCAGAGTGGGTTTGGGGGTCTTCAGTTGCGGGGGTGGCCGCTGGCCAGCAGGACCCCGGGAGGACACGTCTGTGGATCCCTGCACCCCGCTTCTGCGATTTCCACGTGGTCACTTTCATGGTCCTGAGCCCCCAGCCCGGCCTCCTCGGGCCTGACCCACCCCACGCGCCGAAATCCTCAGCCAGACATGGCTCCCCGCTCACCCTGCAAGCCGCCCACCCATCCACCTGGCCGCTGGAGCCGGCATGTGGGTGGGGAGAGGCTGGGTGCGGGACAGACGGGGTGTGGCTGGGACAGACCCAGAGACGGCTCCTCCCAGCTTCGTGGACAACAGCAGGCCTCGCCCAGCAAGGCCCCCAGGGAGGCCTCTGCGTGTGAGTGCGTGTGCGCCCGCCTGGCGTGGGTCCTGGGCCCCCGGGCAACGCTGCCCCCAGCCCGCCAGGCCTCTGCCAACGTTCCCGCGGGTCACATCAACAAGAATGTTTACTGGCTTTTTTTCCCTCTCCCTCTGAGATTCAGCAGAGGCGTTTCCCACAGTTTATGACAGCGACATCTGCGTGGGCCTGGAGGCGCTTTGCCCGAGGGGGCTCTGGGGCAGCCACACAGCACTTCCTACTTTGGAGCTGGTTTCGGGCCTGGGGGCCTCTGGGTTTGTCAGGGCGCCCTTGACAGCTCAGGGGTTCTGCGGAGGCCTCTGTGCTCCTGCTTCCGGGGAACTGTAGGCGAACATCTGGTGGCAGGAAGGACCCTCCAGGGGCTGGGGTACCAGGGGACCAAGGCAGACCCCGTCACTCCCTCACCGAGCTCCTGGTTTGGAGAAGCCATAGACAACGCAATACGAAGATCAGTTAATCTTTTTTTTTTTGAGACAGGAGTCTCGCTCTGTTGCCCAGGCTGGAGTGCCCTGGTGCCATCTCAGCTCACTGCAACCTCCGCCTCCTGGGTTCAAGCGATTCTCCTGCCTCAGCCTCCCGAGTAGCTGGGATTACAGTTGTCCACCACCACGCCCGGGGAATTTTTTGTATTTTTAGTAGAGACGGGGGTTTCACCGTGTTGACCAGGATGGTCTCGATCTCCTGACCTCGTGATCCGCCTGCCTCGGCCTCCCAAAGTGCTGGGATGACAGGCGTGAGCCACCGCGCCCCGCCTCAAAGACAAATTAATCTATAACTTCAAAGAGTGGTAAATGCTTTAAGGAAAATAAGGCTGATGTGGTGGCGCGCGTTTGGACATCTCCTGGGGACGCCTGCGTCTGGTCGCCCGCTGTTCCGGCACTGCCCCCCCAGGTGTGGAAACCGAGGTGTCCAGCAGCCTGATGGCACAGCCTCTTTGCCTGGCATGAGTGAGATCTGTGCCTACAGAATCCACACCCACACCCTTCCCCTGACCTTAGCTGCCCAGCCGGACTGTGTCCCCCAGCAGTCTGTGGCCAGGGGCCAAGTTCCTACCCTAGTGGCACTGAGGGAGGGCACCCCGCTGTCTTGCCCTGGCCTTGGCCCCCTGGCATTCCCCCGGGATTCTCCCCGAGTTGGGGAGTGGGGCAGGGACAGGACCCTGTGTTCTCACTGAGGGCATGTGGGGGCTGGACAGTATGACCTCGGCCAAAACCTGACCCCACTGTAGCTCAGCCGCTCCGGCCCGGGCTGTGCTAATATCAAAGGGTCATTGTCTGGCTGACGTGGGTTCTGGCCTCTCCGGGGAAACCGAGGCTTGCTGCCAGTGGCCTCCTGCTCCCGGCTCTGTCTTCCTCCCTAACCCAGAGGCTGTGCGCGGGGTGACCTCAAATAGGTCACTGACCCTTTCTGGGACGCCCCCTCCTCCTGAGACCCCTCCCGCCTCTGTCCCTCTCCCCATCCTGTCCAGGCTGAGGTTCATCCTAGGACTTCCAGCCCCCCGCCTGGGCCCTGCAGCCCGCCTCTCCCCCACCCGTAAGCCTTCTCCCTGGCTGAGACTCCCACCGCGGCGCCCCGTGCCTCTGCACACCTCCCTAGGCGTCCGTCTCCCTCGAGGTAAACCCCGACAGAGAAACAGACTGAGAATCCCATGTTGCTGTGTGTCAGAGGATACCCAGATAGCAAAGGTGCCCCAGGCCTGACCCAGCCTGGGAGACGCTGAGGAAGACTTTCCAGAGGAAAGGGACGTGGACGTTGAGACTCGTGGAACGGCCGGGGTGTGCGCTGGGCACAGACACGCGCGCGCTGTGAGTGATGGCGGTGCAGTCAGGGTTGGTCAGCAGAACACAGCCCCAGAGACCACAGGGTCCTCTTCCCTGGAACCCGTGGGTGTCCCACCCTCCCTGGCCACGAGGGCTCTGCAGATGGGACTGAGTTGAGGACTTTCAGGCAGGAGCTCATCCTGGGTTCTCTGTGTGGCCCACTGTCCTCAAAGGGTCCTTGGAGGAGGAGACGCCTGGCCAGGCACAGTGGCTCACACTTGTGGTTCTAGCACTTTGGATGGGCAGATCGCTTGAGGTCAGGAGTTCAAAACCAGCCTGGCCAACGTGGTGAAACCCCGTCCACTAAAAACACAATAAAAAATAGCCGGGCCTGGTGACGTGGGCCTGTAGTCCCAGCTGCTTGGGAGGCTGAGGCAGGAGAATCGCTTGAACCCAGGAGGCAGAGGTTGCAGCGATCTGAGATCGTGCCATTGCACTCTATCGTGGTGACACCGTGAGACTCCATCTCAGGCCGGGCGCGGTGGCTCACGCCTGTCATCCCAGCACTTTGGGAGGCTAAGGTGGGTAGATCACCTGAGGTCAGGAGTTCAAGACCAGCCTGACCAACGTGGAGAAACCCCGTCTCTACTAAAAATACAAAATTAGCCGGGTGTGGTGGCTCATGTCTGTAGTCCCAGCTACTCGGGAGGCTGAGGCAGGAGAATTGCTTGAACCCGGGAGGCGGAGATTGCCGTGAGCTGAGGTCGCGCCATTGCACTCCAGCCTGGGCAACAAGAGCAAAATGCCATCTCAAAAAAAAAAAAA